TTTTGGGTCCATGATGTACTATCCAGTTCTTGTTATGTTTGGGACGGTGGGGTAGCCCAGTGGTTAAAACGTTTGCTTGTCACCCCGAAGGCCCAAGTTCAATTCCCCACTTGGGTACAATGTTTGAAGATAAATTTCTGGTGTCTTCTGCTGTGATATTGCTGGAATATTGCTAAAAGTGACGTAAAACCCAACTCACTCGCTCTTGTCATGTTTTCTGGTCCATGGTGTCCCATCCAGTTCTTGTCCCGTTTTCCGTTCACTATTGTCCCATCAAATTCTTGTCATGTTTTCTGGTCCATGATGGCTCATCCAGTTCTTGTCATTATTTGTTGTCTTTAGTGTTCCATCATGTTGTTTGGTCCACAATTCATTGAACAGGGATTAACAAAGACAACATGTTGGTTTGCGTGAAAGGTATTAACAGGAAAGGAAATTGGTACTTAATTGCAGTAACAACTGGAAGAAGTCAGCTGTTTGAGCAACAATACAAAAGAAACAGTGCTACGATTGATTAAAAATGTTAGCTGCAGTGCTCTGTTTTACTGGATTGCATTCATTGCATAATATTTGCATGGAGCTCATGTTGTAAATCACTGGATTATCTAGTTCAGTCAGGTTTTTTTTGCAGACTCCATCATATAGGCTGAAATATTGCTGTATGTAGTGTTATGCAGGAAACAAACAAATATCTTTTCTTAAAAACTAGTGAGTGAGTGAGTTTAGTTTTACGCCACACTCTGCAATATTCCAGCTATATGGCGTCGGTCTACAAATAATCGAGTCTGGACCAGACAGTCCAGTGATCAACAGCATGAGCATCGTACTGCACAATTGGGATACGAAGACAAGACCAAGTCAGCGGACCTGACCACCCGATCCCGTTAGTCGCCTCTTACGACAAGAATAGTCGCCTTTTGTGGCAAGCATGGGTTGCTGAGGACCTATCCTACCCCGGATCTTCACCGTCTCTTAAAAACTAGACCACCAGTCTGAAACTAGATACAAGAGCACATGAATGCAAGGTATATTCAAGAAATTGAGAGAATAATATGTGGTTGTCTATGAAAGGAAAAACATGACAATGTCAACTCATATTTTTGTTATCTCACATGAACAGTAATGTAATTAATAACTGTGGTCATCGTTAAGGTGTGATGGCGTTATCAATTATCAATTACATTCACATTCAAGGCATTAAAACTAGACATGTTCAAAGTGTCTTCACATGTTGTCATTAGATCGAATCAGTGTAAGTGGGCATGCATGTTTGTATATGTGTAATCAGGAACACACACTAGTGTATTGTGTATGCAAATAAGGCACCTTGTGGTTTCCAGAATTATAAAGAATACCTCATTAGCAGCCTATTTACCTTGATACATCAGCACCATTACGTCCATCACCTTTGTCAAGTAGGTCAGTAATGTTTCTGTCCAGGCCCCGCAACCTTTGCGATCCGCACCTTTAAGATAATAAGCAATATGAGAGAAGTGTATGGGTGTACTGATTGTTGTTGAAGTGGTTTAGCAGTTGGTTTCACATCAGATGGAATCAAATACACCAAGATAAATGTACATACTGTTCATTTCTCGGATTGTTATGATTCCTGGTAGTCGCAGTGTTGTTGCGAAGTATAAGGTGAAGTTTTATTCCCAAGCAACCCGCTACAGAACCTTGGATTTGTTTACCATAGCTGTGAAGCCAGCCAGTATAAAAAAGCTGTTTGGCACAAACCTGTTTATGTTAGCAAAATGTGTTTTCTGCTGATAAGAAACTGTATCTTGAAGGTTAGAACTCTGAAAAGAAAACATTTGCTGTTTTACGCACTTGTGGAGAAGAAAATATACACATTCATTAAGATAAATTTATGTAATTAATCCTAAACAGTCAGTGAAAGCTGTGCAATTTTCCTAAAAGCTGTATGCATTGCACGCTATTTTCGCATTTCCGTGATAGTAAAAATTCACTAAATGCAGATATTTTGCTTGTATCTATCCATGTGTGTCTTTTCAGACAGTCCCACCCTGGATCAATTTCTGTTTGTGGTGACTAGCTGTTGTTTCATTGGTTCAACTGTTGTAAACGTTGATATTGTTTTTAACCATTCTTGATGAAGATTTGGTGTAGGAATGGCACCGCTGGTTATGGTAGATAATTGTGGCAGCTCTTTGCTGATGACTGTTGCGAATTAATTATCTCCCAGGGGATATCTAGACAAATTGTGATATATGTGTGTGTATCTTGTAGAGTGAGTGTGTGAGTTTAGGTTTTAGCAATATTCCAGCAATATCGTGGGGGGGGGGCACCAGAAATAGGCTTCACACATTGTACCCATGTGAGGATTCGAACCCGATCTTCAGGGTGAAGAGCAATTTAACCACTAGGCTACCCCACCACCCCGTATCTTGTAAAGCTGTACACCAAGGTATAGTTGCGACTGTTTCAAGATGTGGGACATAATGATTTGCTATTTGAATATCATCATTTTTCAAAGTAAGGTCAACCTTTCAGAATGTCAGCCAAGATTTTTGACTGCTTAAACAACAAATGACCCACAATTTCCAAGGAATATGAGGCCACTTGCACTTAGTTCCATGTACTTGACACTGGTCACTCCACCCATAAGTATTTGTAGGAGAAAGGCCTTAATCTTTCGCTTAGTTTTACTTATGTGGTTTTGTTCTAGGATGTGGTTTTGTTCATGACAATTGATTGAAAGAATGTTCTACTAAAGGTCTGAACTGTGACGATCCAGGTCATAATTGGTCTTCAGCAACACAAGTCATGTTTGTTGCAGGAGGTGGCTAACCAGATCGAATGGTCAGACTCGCTTACTTGATTGAATCTTGTTAGCGTATCCCAGATGCTCATGAAGTTGATCACTGAACGGTCTGGTCCATACTTGATTATTTACAGACAGTTTTTTGCGGTTATTCATTCATACTTCTTTTTAAACACTGACATGATGAGGTGTTAAGCAAGAAACAAGAAAAACAAAATTAGGTATTGAAGCTTAGGAACCTTGATGTATTGGTCAGAGTGTGTCTTGTGGAAAACAGTCCCTGGCAGATGTACACACAATGATTTAAATCCAGCCTCATTTCACTTATGAACTTATGTGACCATAGACATTTAACATACATACAGTATTTTTAGAAAACATCTTGCAAGGATTTTTTATGTGTTTGGACCAGTAAGTGGCGGTGCCTACCCTTGTCTTTGTTTGCTGATTTGTATCCAAGCTATAAAAAATGGTTGGGGAAGGTGTTGTAATCGAGATAGACTTCAAGTGCATAGCCAAACTTCTGAGTTCAAGTGGCACAAGAGAGGTTGAAGTTGGCAAGGAAACAAAGTGTTTCAGTTTACTAATAGGGTCATGAAGGTCTTGAGTCATGTGATGTGGGCTTAGGTAATAATCATTCATCCGCTCAATTGTGCATGCAACCAGGAAGAAAAGGAGTGGTAATATTTGAGATGTCTTGACACTTGTGTTGAAATTAAAAGTGATGGTTACCGGAAACCTGTGTAACTAAGCAGGGTCTCACCCTTGGTTCAGCTGCCTTCAGTTGGCCCCTTCATATTATGAGTGATTTAGGTAAAAAATGATTTAAATATTTATAGGTTTTTGTGTGAAACAGGAAAACTAGATTCAGCTGGAATGAGGTCACACTGTGTGTCATATATCCGGTAAATGTTCAACATTTCTAACAAGAGAAGAAAAGTTGTCGTGGCATTTTGTTCTGGATTTGCATTTTGCAAACTGAATTTGAGAACAGTCAGTATCTTCTTTTTGAGGCACATGGCCATTTGTGTCAACAAATGAATAAGTAAAACATGAAAATAATCTTATTGCTGGAAAATGTGGCAGGGTGTCAAGTTAACATCACATGTTCAGCTTCATTGCGTGTTTCGGATCATAATTCTATTTTCCTTTCGGCCCTTCTGAAGTCTTTAGGTACTGCAGCAACGAGTTAATGTTGTAAAAACTTTTGCCAATTTCTTGAAAAAAAGTCGTTTCAGGTGTTACGATTAATGAGGTACATCAGTGACAGGTTTGCCTCTGCCAAGTGTTTTTTCTTCAGGAATATTTCCAGAATGTTCAGGTTGTTTTTCTTGCAGAAACTCCCAATGATGCCCATGTTTCTGTCATTGTTTTAGAAAAAGTGCAAAGAGCGGAAGAATATGTCTTTTTAAGAAATGGAATCATGACATTACTGAGACAGATACTTAATCAATAGGTGTCAGGGTTCTAAAATATTGCCAGTTACACCTATAACTTGTACTTAAAGAACACAACCAACTGGAAATCTGGGTCAAATAGTCTAGGATTCCAAACTATGGGTTTGTGGCTGGCAAAATGGGGGAAAATTCTTTTCTGTCCAAAATACAGAAGTTTTTGTTCTCTAAAAAAGGTACAATAAAATTCAATCCAATAATATAAAAAATTAAATGTTAACACCCTTTTCTTGTAATTGACCCTTCCAGTTATAGGGAAATCAGATGTAACCTTTGTACAGCGATATTCAAAACATTAGTGGGAGTCAGGTATTTTACAGACCATTGTCATAATGCTGTTATATTGTTGATTTAAACAAGAAACAAATATAGCCTGTATAAATTTATCATGGAAATATATTCCTAGTTTCCACCGTTCAGTGGGAGTAACTACCGAAGAGAAATATAGGAAAAGGGAACAATTTCTTTACAGAAACAAATGCTATCATTGCAAATCTTTCTAAAATCAACTTTATTTTGTTATTCTTTTTGTTTGACATATTCTACCATCCTTCTCTGTGACATATGGCATAGCTCAGGGTGAAGTGAGTTATATGACATAAAAAAAGTATTGCATGTACATGGGTGTCTTAGGGGTGTACGAGGGAAGAAGGCTTTTGTTCCATTAAGACATGCACTCATTCACATACTGGTACACCTACATTCACACAATTCAATAATGTATCGTGTCATCTGGTCTCATATATAATTTTTATTTTCAGGGGTTGTGATTGGACTGAGCAACTTTTGTGCCTACTATGACAGTGCCCCCTCTGACACTGTCAAAAGCAACGTCAAAAATGGGGAAGTATCAGATGTGACCACCTTGGGGGGTGAAGTCATGTTGGATAACCGTACTATACGCTGTGTGGATGACAACAACTTCTGTTACACACTGTGGGCTGTCAATGTCACATCGGACAAAGAAATCATCATCAAACAAGGTAAGAATTTACTGTTTATTTAGATCCTTTAAAGTAAACATCTACACATCATAAATGCAAAATCATTCAGGGCTGTTGTCTCTTGGAGGTCATGCTTCCAGAAGAGGCTGGTGTCTCTTGGAGGTCATGCTTCCAGAAGAGGCTGGTGTCTCTTGGAGGTCATGCTTCCATAAGAGGCAGGGGTCTCTTGGAGGTCATGCTTCCAGAAGAGGCTGGTGTCTCTTGGAGGTCATGCTTCCAGAAGAGGCAGGTGTCTCTTGGAGGTCATGCTTCCATAAGAGGCTGTTGTCTCTTGAGGTCATGCTTCCATAAGAGGCAGGTGTCTCTTGGAGGTAATGCTTCCATAAGAGGCAGGTGTCTCTAGGAGGTCATGCTTCCAGAAGAGGCTGGTGTTTCTTGGAGGTCATGCTTCCAGAAGAGGCAGGTGTCTCTTGGAGGTCATGCTTCCAGAAGAGGCTGGTGTCTCTTGGAGGTCATGCTTCCATAAGAGGCTGGTGTCTCTTGGAGGTCATGCTTTCATAAGAGGCAGGTGTCTCTTGGAGGTCATGCTTCCATAAGAGGCTGGTGTCTCTTGGAGGTCATGCTTCCAGAAGAGGCTGGTGTCTCTTGGAGGTGATGCTTCCATAAGAGGCAGTTGTCTCTTGGAGGTCATGCTTCCATAAGAGGCTGGTGTCTCTTGGAGGTCATGCTTCCATAAGAGGCAGGTGTCTCTTGGAGGTCATGCTTCCATAAGAGGCTGTTGTCTCTTGAGGTCATGTTTCCAGAAGAGGCTGGTGTTTCTTGGAGGTCTTGCTTCCATAAGAGGCTGTTGTCTCTTGGAGGTCATGCTTCCATAAGAGGCTGGTGTCTCTTGGAAGTGATGCTCACATTACAGATATTCCTAACAAGCTGTCAAATGTGGCTGCACGTAAAGATCTATCCTGTATTCCGGAATTGTGAGTGATGAACATTGGTTTTCTGCACGACAATCAGGAGAGCATCATGAAATGCTAAAGGGTTCTCTGTACATAATAATGATATTTGAGGGATGATTTTTAAGAAGGGGACAGTTATTTTGCAGTTAAATATTCATAGCACTGGCCTAATGAGCTGCTGTAGCAATTTGCGCCGTTGGAGAGAGATGTGAAAGAACGGTTCAATGACATTGGTGATGTCTCACATGAAACCTGTGGAGTGTCATGGTGCCCTGCCAGAGTGAGATGGCTGGTACCAGCACCCGTATAGCTTCTGTGAGATGCACTTAATGCTACAAGGGCCTTATCAATGTAATGTTCAAATGTGCAGTGGTTTGTAAACTTTTTAATGCCAGAAAGTTGTATTCCTTGTTGCCTGAAGCTGTTGTTTACCTTAAACTAGTGTGTCTAGAACAATGTGAAAATAATTAAATTAATTGAATGTGGTATTGAAGTTTAGGAACTTTGATGTGTTGTTCAGAGTGTGTTTTGTGTAAAACAGTACCTTGCAGATGTAGACTGTAGACTTATGTGACCATAGAAACCTAATATACATGTACCTCCAGTACTTGAGAAAACATCTTGCAAGAAGTTTTTATGTATATTTGTAGTGTAGCTTCTGTCTCATATCAACATTTTGATACAATTTTAGTTACCATGTATACATACTGTTGTGTTAGGTTTGTGTATGTGACGCACCCTGTTATGTCATGACATCCTTTTCCCCACCATCAGAACTGATGTCATCACAACATACCTCATGTCAGTTACAAATAAATCATAATTCAAATCGGTCATCTTTGCTAGATGTTCCGCTCATGTATGGGTCGTACAAGTATACAGGTCCTAGAAATACACTACACGGTGTTGCTCATGTCTCTTGTCGGCCTGGCCAGGGTTCTGTTCCACAAAACAACTGTAGAGCCGCAACTGTCATAGGTCAGTGTTAAAGTATGGGAATTACAATAATCACGATCCTACAGTTGCTTGGGGGAAAAAGGACATGTGACTTCATGAAAGTCGCCCATGCTATAGCTATACTATTGGTGACTAGGACATGACATTTCACTCTGTCTAGGCAAAAGAAAATATATATGTGTTTACAGTTTCCCGACCGACCCCATCACTTGACTTCCGACCCTAAACTTTTTTTTCTGTTTTTTTGAAAGACGGCGAAACATTTTGCTATTCCAACAGTAGGTACTCCCCAATGTTGGGGGCGACCATATGTGACCTGTGCTCACTTACTCTTGTTTTTCATAAATGTTGAATTTAGAAAGTGTTGATGCTTCAGTTATTAAAATTTTAAACTGGTTTCCCCTCTTTTTTTTCAAAACTGGTGCCTGATATTACATAAATATGTGATTTTATGAAAAATATGCTAGTGCGTTTAAAAAAAAATGTAAGAAAAACAAAAACAAACCCTACCTACAAACCCTGTTATATAATTTCATGTTACCTTAAACACCTATATATTTTTTCTGGCCCTAGCGTACATGCTGTCATGACATGATTTATGATTGTAATGACTCAGCATTAAGATTATTCCCCCTGTTCACCCAGATAATGTTTCTGTGTCAGCAGCATGCCTGTACTGATGGGTTTCACCAAAGTGGGATTTTCTCCCACTTCAAGCAGGAATTCATTTCAAAGAGGCTCAAGTCACTCACTCACCCACCAGATTAACTAGACCTTGTGCACCTTGATCGATGAGCTTATCATGTGACTGTGTCATTGAAACCATGAAGATGTTGGCCAGTCCTCTTTTAGGAATAGTAACAGAACGTTCTTCCTGATCAGATCATAGTGTGTACGATTGGGGCTCTTCTAATGAAATGACTTTGTAGACGATGTCGTGTCTCCTCAGTCTGGTGAGTCCCGGTACTAAGTACCCAGACTGCCAAATTAGAGCTTGTCACGAAAGTAGAAGCCAATAATTTCAGCAAGAGTAACTAAATTCTGATGGTCGGTTTCAGTAGCAGGTGGAGAGTATATTATGGACGCTACCAGGCTCTTATGAAGACACTGACACAAAAATAACCAAAATACCAGAGGAAGTCTACAATACATTTGCAGGTCCAGAATTCTTCAGTTTCAGATTCTGTAAATTAAAGGACTCTCAGTGTTCCTGTTATTATATATTAAAATGAATTTATAACATCTTTAAACAAAAATCAATTCAAAGACAAAATGTTAGCCAAAGAAGCTTGTAGCTAGGGCCTTGTCACTTGATTGAGGGCAACATTAAATAAAACATAGTAAAATTGATTGATTTTACTTTTTTCCTAATTCCTTAGGATCTAATTGAAACCTTAATTATTAATTACAACTTGGAGTTATGTCATGGGGTCCTGTCAAGCTACCTTCAATTGGGCCAGGAGGTAAGCAAGTCAAAGAATGGTTCCCAGAATACCCTTGTTTCAGGTTTCCAAATTACTGCTCATACAGGAATATTATGTAAAATGGCAAACCCTTTTAAACCATTCTGATAATTGATACAATGCCTTAACAGCATACTTACTGATTACATTTCATGTTTTACACATTTCACACATCCCTGCATTTAACAAACACCTTGGTTGTGTCGTATCCAAAGTTCATTATTGGCACTAATGGTAAAGTTAATAATAACTCCCTTGGAATTCAAAACTGGATCTGCACTTCAAAGCTCACAAAGTGCTATGTCTGTCTTTGCCACATCTAAAGTTGACTGTTCTATTAAAATATTGAACAGGCATATTTCCAGTTTATTCTGCAAAGCTATTATTGAGATTCCTTGTATAGGTATAGAAAAGGGTGTTTAATTTTGGAAAGAGTCAGTAATACGAGATCTTACTGAAGTCTGAAATTTATGTTTCATTGAAACCCAAACTCACAATTGTTTATAAGGTCTAGACTGAAAACAGATCTTCTTTCTGGGCATGAAAGAAATAAAATGTAAGTGCCAATTTGTAATTAATTTACAAATTTTTTTTGGTCATGGTATAAAAAACCTGCTGGCATCTAAAGTGTCTGAACCTGAAATGTTGATATGGTTTAAAAGCTGTGGAAAAGACTGCTATCTTTTATCAGCCTTCCCAGACATCTGATCATAGCTGGGCTATAAACCGAACAAGGGGGGTTTCATAAAAACTTTCCCACTACTCATGAGAAAATAACAAAAATCATGCTCCCCTAACATATGAGCCCTTGTCTTCTGTTGGATCAAGTGCTTTCTGATTTTCTCAGTTACAATTTCGGAATGATATATATTTTTTTCTTTCTGGAAATTTCGCAGATCTTTTTCGTATTGGCTGTTGTGTGAAGGTTTTAACATTTCAGAATAGCAGTGAACATAGAGAACATTTGGCTCTCTGCTCAATATTATCGTGGGCTTGCTGGAGCCAGTTACTGAAGCTACACATACATATTTTATCTGTGATTAGAAATTCTACAAAGCTTATGCATATTTATCTGCAACTATTAAATATCAAGTTGTCTCATTATTTTTATAGATATCTGTTAGTTAACATTTTAATTAAAGATCCAGAGCAATAATGACTTGAAGAGGTGAACAGAAGGATGTTTGTACAAACCGGTTATAGGATAATAGAACAGATCTTAAGTTAATATTCCATATCATGTTGGTACCTGGTAGGCTTTGAGTAAGTTTAACTGAGTTAACCGGGTATGTCCATGTGATCAAAAATTGTATTCTGTTATTGGAAGAACTTTATTACCAATTGCTTAGGAAGCATTTTGAAATTGATCGTTCCTGTGTATACACAGTACACATCCCAGAAGAAAGGTGTGGCAGAAGTATTTCACAGTAAGGTGTGATATATGTCATATCACAACAAGAAGCTGTAATTGTTCTTGTGTATACATACAGTACACAAAACAGAAGGAAGGTGTGACACAATGTATTTCACAGTAAGGTGTGATATGAATCATATCACAGCAAGAAGTTGTGATACAACGCTAGCCTGTCATACAGACCCTGAAACCAATATATCCAAGAAAGCCCATGCAAGTCTAAAATATGTGACAAGTACAGATTACCACAGT